TTATTTTATTTTATGAAACTTTCAGCCTTGTTAGCATTTCTCGAAGAAGAATTTCTCATATCAGTAGCAGTAGCGGGAGCTGCCGGGACGGTGGTAGTGATCACAAATAGTAAATGATAGTTAATGATAATAACAGTGCCAACTTACAGTGATTTTCATGATTGATGATTCATCAAAAAGCGGACAAATTTAAAATACATAAAAAGTGAATCATATAATTTTTTTTAAAGTTTTAATATACATTTCTTTTTAATCAATTTAAATATTATTGTCTCCTTGAATATTCGTGACGGTAGAGAGATATAAAGTTTAACGTATTCGTTTTGTACGAAGATCCAACACACAAACATATGAAAGATAGATGTTTAGCGTTTATATGAGACACCAATATTTTTATGTGGAAAACTCTGAAAAAGGGAGAAAAATCATAGGGCCTGACCCAATTTGAATGAATTCACTAGTGGTTTGCAGTCGATTACAAATGAGACCCTTTTTTGGGGGAAAGTCCTTAACTTTATGTAGCAAATATATATCATACAAAGTGCATTACATGGTGGGAATCAGAAGAATCAGTATTGATATGTTCGTTTGGCCAGCAAGATCATAGTCAGTGGGCGACAGAGGTCTAAAACATCATTTTGGGTGATGGAGGTTGAAAGGACCGTAGTCGGCATTCGACGAAGGTTAGAAAGACCTTATCAGACGATGAATGTCGAAAAGACTGTAGTCGACATATGTTGGAGGTCAGAAAGAATGTTATCTAGCAACGGAGGTTGGAAGGACAGTAGTCGGCAGGCGACGAAGTTCGGAAAGACCGTAGTCTGACGATGCATGTTGGAAGGATTGTAATTGACAGATGAACAATGATCAATAAGATCGTAGTATGGTGACAGAGGTCAGAAGGACTGTTGTCTAGAGATTGAGGTCAGAAGGACCATAGTCTGGCAACTAAGGTCAGAAAGACTATAACCTAGGGACAAAGGTCAGAAGGATCGTAGTTGGTGGGTGATGGTGGCCAGAAAGACCATTGTCTAATAACAAAAATTGGTCCAGGACCGTAGTCGGGGGGGGCGATAGTGGTCAAAAAGTCTGTTGTCTGGCTATGGAGGTCGGAAGAACTGTAGTCTGGCAATGGAGGTTGGAAGGACCTTAGTCGGTAGGCGATAATGGTCAAAAAGACTGTTATTTAGCAAGAGAGGTCGAAAGGACCGTTGTCAACTGATGATATTAGTCTAAAAGACAGTTGTCTAGCGACCAAGGTCTGAAGGACCATTGTCGGTGGCTGGGTGTAAATCTAACATTAGTCGATGGCTTGGCGTAAGTCCGACGACAATTGGTGGCTAGGCAGATGTCTGACCCCCTGCCCCCTTCTCAATGAAGAATGAAGGGTCTATTTATAATTTTTTGGGAGTGACGTGGCTATTAAATGTGGGAGGAGATTAAGGGCATGTTAGGAATGTTTTGAATAGACAACCGAAATCGACTCCTTTGATCATGGACCGTTTATTGAGTATTTGAGTTCCTTAATGATATCATAATTCAAAGATCTTGGGCTCGTTGGATTCATCTCGTCGAGTTGCTCGATTCAACTATAAGTATATCATGTTTGAAAACCATTTATTTATCCAATTTATAGTTTAAACATACTGAATGCTCTTCGAGTCTTTAATTTGGGCCATTTTGAGCTCATATTTAATTGAATTTGGTGTCATTGAGCTCATCTTTTCGATACGTTCAATTCAATTATAAATTTGCTGAAATCAAAATTCAAATTGCTCCAAATTTAATTTTGAAAGTTTCTAATTCAAAATTACCTCTAGATTCATGCTTGATCAAGATAAATTTTTGATGATATATCAAATATAAAAAAATCCAAATTCTTTTTTATTTTAAATATTTTACATTATTTTTAAGTAAACCAAACAAACCTTATATAAAAAATTGGTTTCTTTTATTTATTTTATAATAAAAAAGAGCTTGTAAAAACATAAAGTTTAAGGCTTTGTCTTCGACAGCTTTTTTTATTGCTTTTTAAAGTAAATTTTTAGTATAAAAATTTTTGAACTAGACATTTTAATACTAAAAAATTGTTTTAAAAATCACTAAGAAAGCAATCCCACATGAAGTGTAGATCAGATTGACATTAATTTTATTTCAATCCCTTGATTAAGGCTTTGTTTGGGACAGCTTTCTTCTTGCTTTCTAAAACAGCTTTCATGTATTAAATTATTTTTGTACTAGAAAGTCATTTTAAAAAGTGGTATGAAAGCTGTCCCAAACGAAGCATAAAACTCAGGTCTAATTTGGGTTAGCTTCATATCTGATTTTCTGATATCATTAATTTAGGATTCATTTCGTAATGCTTTGTGATGAAACTGAATAAGGGCGAAATTATATCTCTTGAATTCTATAATTTAATGATAATTAGCAAATAATAATAGAGAGAAAATTTAGATTAAAAATTTTAATTTGAATGAAATTTATGAGGATAAAATTTATTTTATAATAAATATAGTATATGATTAATCAATTAATTTTTAGATTTATTTTTTATATTAAATAAATTAATGATTAAATTCAAATTGCAATATTCTGACTAAAAAAAATTTCCAACGCAAAAATTAGTTTATTTTAATTAAAAATTACGGTTTTGTTTATTAAAAAAATTTCTGACAGAAATTTTTTGTTATATTTTATATAAAATTATGAAACAATGTAATTAAATTAAAAAAACAAATACAATTTAATTATCAGATAAAATAATAAAATCATTAAAAAACTGTAAATATATCAAAATATCTTAAATAAATTTTTCCCTTGCATGCACAAAACAGCGTATGGAACGACAAAGCACATAAGCAAACAAATTCGAAGTCACCTAAAAAATTTGTAAAATATTTATTTATTTGATATTTGTGAAAAAATGAATTGTAAGATATTTTTAATATTACTGACATTGTTTCAATCCAAACTTAAGAAAAAAATAAATTTTCTTTATTACATATAATAAAAGTGATCAAGATTTTGTTAAAGACCATTAAATAATATGTTTTAAAATCGATAAAAAAAAAAGATAAACCTTTTTTTTCTTTATGAGGTAAAAGAAGGATTTCTCAAGGATTTAAAAACCGGTCCGGTCCGGACCGGCCGGTTCAACCGGTTGAACCGGGAACAGGTCTGGTGGTTGGTCCGGTCCATCCCTTTAAATCGGGCTGCAATTAAACCGGCCAAAAACCGGATCCATTGCCGGTTGAACCGCTAAACCGGCGGACCGGACTCGGTTGAAATAACCAACCGGTTTCAAAATAACCTAATTAGAGCCGTTAATCGCAAATCGAACAACAAAAATTGGATTTATGTTTCATTTAGCGAGAGTAGAAAGTCGAAACACCTCATTTCGCTTATATTGTTTGCTGCTCGAAAACCCTACGGGAGCAACGAATAAGACAGAGACTTCAGACTAGGAGAGGTGAATGACTGTCTTTTTCTTTTGCAGGTGAGTCGAAACACCTTAAGGGCATGCTTTCCGTTTTCGTCTCTTATTTTGGCCGGACAATAGTGCCGTTTGTTTTGGCATGCTTCCGTCTGTCCGAGCAAGATAGGGAAAAAAGAGGTTGCGATTTTGTTTTTCTTTTTCCTACATTGTTAGATGTTCGAATACAATGCGAGAGAGGTACATTTTAAGTTTTTTTTTTTTTTTAATCTGGTTCATTCGCCTTTGCTGCAACCAAGACCGAGAGAGATGAAGGATTTTCTGATTTTCTTCAGTTTTTCTAATTCGCAAGAAGCCCTAACCAGAATTGCATTCATGTATGATGTATCAATTATCATATTATTGTAGATGTCATTGAACTCCTTCACTCACATATACAAAGCTATCCGAAGAAGAAGCTCGTAACTGTTAATCACATAATTGTTCGGTCAATTGATGGTTTGTTGTTTGATCTCATCAGCTGAAATGATTATGGTTGTTGCAATGTCATTTTCTGTGCTGATTTTTTTTTCTTATTATCATATTCTGTTAATGCCTTAATGGTCTTTCTTATTGTAAGGTGGTAGAGTTTGTTAGATGTATATTTAATATTTATTCTCTTATTTTGTTAAAGTTGGTTAGAATTTAGAAAATAGAATATAGAATGAATGCATTAGAATAAAATTTAACATTTATTTTTTTAATAATATTATTATTTATTACTTCATCTAGTTCGAGCCTGGTACGACCGGTCGAACCAGTCGAACTGTGAACCTCTCCTTCTTCCGGTTCGTTGTCCGGTCCGGTTTTCACAACGTTGGAATTTCTTAGATATAATCCAATAATTATGAATTTTGCATATCTTAAATTGCTCATGCTGAGTTAGAGTCAGCCCAACTAGCTAAAAAATGTTTATCTCATAGACCAATTAATGCCTACTTATTATTATTATATTTATCTTTTAAAGTAATTTTTTTATATAGCATTGCCTCTATTTCCACTTCTAAATAGGGAAAAACTATTATGTATGGTACCTGAATGTGCCCGAAGGTCCGGACTCGCCACATTACTCAACACATAGTACGTTAGATGATGTGGAGCGTCTGGATTGATCTCCGGATGCATCCAGACTCCACACATAATAATATCTCCTTAATATGAGCTTAGAGGGAAAGCATAAAAATATGAGAAATTATTTTGTGCGGAGACCGGACGCAGAACGCTGTCCGGAGACCAACCAGAATGGATCACGTTAGCAATAACGAGCCGAGATACCGAGCAGTACCGTGCCTCGGTATAGAACAAGGGATGACGTGGTACATTCTGATTGATCTCCGGACCGCGTTCAACATCCACACAGATTAATTTTTCTAAAATTACACGAGTTGTTTATCACGATCTCCTGACTTTCGATCAATAAAATCACAAAGCTTTTATCTCATTCTATTCCTCTCATCTATCTAGTTGCCAACTTTTTGTAGTCAATCTTCTCAGTAAGGCCAAGGCCGAGGCATTGACAATGAACAAATTTGAATTCAACAGATTTATTCACTCAAAATCTCAACAAAGAACAAATTTTATTTCAAATATTAACTAATTATTATGCCCATTTAGCTAGAATGGACATGAAAGCAGAGCCAAGCAGGAGAGCAAGGTGTGCTCCAAGCTGAAGCTTTATACTGTTTTGCATTCTAGGGTTTGTAAAATCTGCAGCTAATAGATCTACGAGAGACATGTAGACGAGAATTCCAGCAGAAGCTGCATCAAATATCCCTTCAATTATAAGAGCTGTTGAGCTGTTTGGATTGTAGCTTGTAGAAATGGCTATTCCAAGAGCAATTCCAAACGGGGCTGTTAATGAGAAGAAGATGGCCATTATCACCGTTGCTCGAGCTCTGAAGTTTGCCTGTGTTAATTAAGTATGAAAACAAACATCATTTTCTGCTTAATTAAGCTTAATTAGGATGCGAACAAATATTAGAGACAAATGTTGTGTCAAGTAAATTAATGATGATGAAATAATAGACTTGTGATAGAGAGACAAAATTACATTTAGGTTTTTTATATTTTACAATATTTTTTTTTCTCAAAAATAGATTTATGATAATATGAATTGAATTTTATATAAAATGTATAATTTAGAATATGTTTGGAACAGCTGCAGTGTTTTGTAAAGTTGATTGTGATGTTGCTGTAAGAAAATTAATTTAGATTTTGTTTGAGATGACGTTCTTACTGCTTCTTCAAGCAACTGTTATGAACAAAAATGAAAATTTTGGTACTAGAAGACTGCTTGAAGAAGCAATAAAAAAACCGTCCCAAACGAAGCCTTAGTTACCATATTGCGAAAAGCAACTTGTTTTCACAAAATTTATAAAAAACTGAAAAAATAGCAAGAGAATAGTAGCAAGTGAAATTATGCTTACTATATGAAAGTCAATATAGCAAGAAAGCTATCCAAAGATACTTTTAGGCTTCATTTTAGACAGCTTTCTTGCTGCTTTCTAAAGCAGTAAAAAGCTGCTTTAAGAAGTAGAAAGAAAGTCGTCCCAACGAAGTCTTAGGTTTCGTTTGGAACGACTTTTTTATTGCTTTCTAAAATGGAGTTTTAGTACAAAAATAAAAAAATTTGTACTAAAACTCAGTTTTAGAAAGCAATAAAAAAGCCGTCCCAAACGAAGCCTTAGTTTATTAATTATTCATGAAAAAATTCCTTAATGATAAAAGTTATTTATTTCAAATCGAATACCATTTGGTGTGACAAAGCAAATCTATAACATTAATAGTAAAGATTTCTTAGATAAAAATTAATTTAAAAAATATTATTATGTTGTCTGGTATTTTTTAGAAGGAATCTATCATAAATAATAGACTAGCAATAATAAAATTTTCTTCTTATTATAATACATAGTTGAATAACCAATGATTAAAAATAAATATAGAAATTTCTCTTAAAATAATACTTTAGCATAAGCTATAGCCTATATGGTAAATTTACCTGAACAATACAGCCACCAAGTCCAATGCCTTCAAAGAATTGATGGAAGCTCAAGGCCCCCACCAGTGGCTTAATTGTTTTAGGGCTTTCAGATGTACCCAGTGAAACTCCAATAATTACGGAATGAACCACTATGCCCAACTCCAATACCTACAAAATAATTAATTAAAAAAATTATTTCATCCGGTAGAGAAGAAATTAATAATCTGTAACTTTAAGTAGCTTTTTGCAATTTAGCTATGTGGAATTGCAATTTTTCATTCTTTTCACATAAATATGGAAAATAAGAGTTTTTTTATGCTTTTCTTGATTGTGATTTAGTTCTTGTTTCATGGAGTAGTGAGCAAAGTTTTGCCAAAGACTTATTTACAATGCCCTAGTAATAAATACTCAAAAATTATATATTTAAATTGAAGGATTTACATAAATAACACTTAAAAGTTTTATTATTTATATATCTAACATAAAAAATTAATTATTTAAATACAAAAAGTACTAATTTTCTCAAATTCAAACTTCCGCCAATGCCGGTTTTGTCAATGTAGTTCTTGAGAGAGTGATCGTATGACGTTTGTTCTTCTTCTTCATTCTCGACATTAACACACTGTCGATCCCATCAACTCTCTTCCCAAGCGAGATCGCATCATTAATATGAAATCTCTCAGGAAAATAAAGCTGAACTCTTAAACATAGAGTCACTTTTTGATGTAATGGTTAAGAAAATAAAGCTGAACTCTTCATAAGAAATTCTAAAGTTAAGTGTGTTTGTATACCAACACTTCTAGGATGGAGAATTATTTTGTGCGAAGACCGAACGCAGAATACCGTTTGGAGACCAACCAAAATGCACGACATCAGTGGTATTGAGCCGCAGAACTAAGGGAAAGGAAGACGTGACACATTCTGGTTGGTCTCCAGACGGCGTTCTGCATCCTCACAGAGTAATTAATCTCTAGGATGAGTGACATCTTGTGAAATTACAATAACAGCACAAAGCTATGAGACATTAGGTCCAAGTGGATAATATCCGAATGATTATGAGTTTGAGCTATTGCAAATTGAATCAGAGCAATACATTTGTCGAAAGTTGAGAACTCTACCGTTAAATCAATGATTCTGGACTAAGAAAGATGACGAAACATAAGAGATTATCTATGGAAATCCTAAGCTTAAATTTTGTGTGAAATCATTGATTATAATGCTAATTTTAATTTATATCTTCTAAATTTGAACATTTATTTTCATAATTTCAAGTATGCCATCATTCATTTTCGATGACATATTATATCAGATATCCGCAATAATATTTTTTCCCTATAAAATACGCGCGAAAAACAGAGCAGTAGCGTTGAACTGAATACAGCGCTAAACAGAGCACTAGAGCAGCAGACCTAAACTGTTCATATCAACGCACTAAAAGATGGTGTTTTTTTATCCGAATTAAAAAAATCCAAATAAAACCTTCCATCTTCACAAAATTCGCAGCATTTTAGTAACCAAAATAAAGTTTTATTCTACAAAAAAAAAATAATAATTGCAAAGTTTACCTGTGATATAACCCTGTGCCGGATTTTCTCCTCCATCGACGCCTCCTCCGCTGGCGACCCCCCACCGGCCACCGGCCCGTGCGCGTGCCCATGACTGGCATGAGTATGCACGTGCACGTGACCTGCATGCGCTGCCTCACGATCTCCAGCTACTATTTCATCATCAAAGAGCTGAGCTTTTTTAAAGTGCGATCTTTTATAGTAGCCAGTGGCAAACGAATCAATCATCATCGTTCCCATCGCCGACGACATGGCGACGAAGCCCGCAAAGGGGAAGACCTGCCATGGATGGGTTGGGAGGCAGGGAGAGGTGAGGCGCGCGAAGGCGTCGGGGAGGATATGGATGAAGGCGGTGGCGAGGATGACGCCGGCGGCGAAAGATTTAATTGAGAAAAAAAGGTCACTTTCTGGTCGGAGGAAGGGGATTGAGCGGCCGAGGATGGGGATGAGGACTCCGGCGGCGCCGGCTGCGAGGATGGAGACGAGGGCGATGGATTTGAGAGAAATGGAGTTTTTGAAATCCTCGTAGTCTTTGGAGTTGGGAGTACATTGGCAAGATGCGAGGGAATAGAGAGGGAAGAGAAGGAGGAGGAAGAAGAAGAAGGAGAAGGAAAGAAATGAGAGCTTCATGGATTTTGAAGAAGGGAGAAAGGAGATTTGTGTGAGTCAATTGAAGAGTTGGGGGGTTTTTATTTGTGTAAGGGGCTTTATACGAAGAAGACTAAAAGTGTTATGTTCTATTGAAGTAAGAAAATTTTAATCCATATGGGACTGGAGAGTGTTGACATTATGTTGTCATTATAAACTCAAAAGGGTGGGGAAAGTGTTATCTTTGTTTAGAAAGGATTTAAGGGATGATTTGCAATATAAATTAAAAAATTTATGAAGCAATTTGTTTATGGTGTTGATGATTATCTTGCTTAATTAAAATAATTATGTTTTATAATATTTGGAATTTTTTTATTCAACTTTATTTATAAGAAAATGTTGAAAATTTTATTACGGGCTAGAAAATTTATGATCATATAGTGTGAATTTAACATTTTAATTTTAAATAAAGATTTAGCACACATAAATAAAATTTGTAAGAGATTTTATAATTTTTTATGTGAAAAATTCAGTTAGAGAATTGGATTAATTTGATGTCATTGAAATCGGTTTCTCGAGATGCTCAATTTAAGTATATTTTTTTTCTAAAATCGGAGTTTGGATGATCATGAATTTTAATGTTGATACGTCATTACAAAATTAGCTTAATCGGGCACGAATCTCGAGGCAAAGCTAGTTGGAGACCTCAAAAATTAATTCCGAGAGCACCCGAACTCCGATTTCAGCAAACTTACGGTCGAACTGAGCGTCTCGGAAATACAAACTCAACGACATCAAATTCGACCCTATCCGAGCCCAAATGGGTCCGAATCATGGACCCGAAGTGCTGTTGGAAGGTTCA